GAGATTCAAAGTCTCTATTAATATCCAATTCTATTCAACTTTATTTATCCCTGCAGGGGCAGTAATGCTGGGCAGTTGTGCAGCAGCTATGCTTTTCAAAACAATAATCAATAATTCAATCAATAATTATTATAGTAAAGAACTTCAGTCAGAAATAATATCGTGTGATGAAACGCATTTTAACTATAGTGTTTTCAGATTCCTTTTTAGGCTTTGACTTCCTGTTATAAGATTCAGCCATTTAGTAAATATTCTAACTACACTGTCAACATAATGTGATCAGCCCGAGCAACACTATGGATGGAAACGTAAACAATCTGTGACCCTGAGTTTCCCTCAGGATCAATATCCACCTGTCAATCAGTCGATCTGTCAATCAATCAATCAATCAATCAGTGTCAATGGATGAACCCTTCAAATGTCAGCAGGTTGTTTCACGAACCAAGCTCCGATTCTTTCTGTACTTTAGGAACATCCCTTCAGTGTGTGCAGAGTCAGTCCCTGCATGAGGAGCAGATGAGACCTCCACAGTGGTTCAGTGACTGACTTCATTTAAGGTCAAGTGTTGAAGTCTCTCACCTGGAAACGTGACTCTGGTGTTCGGTCACATTAACGACGCAGTGCTGCGCGTTGATCGCTGAAGAAATCCTCAAGACATTTTGAAACTGTCTGCACAGAGTCACGACGCGTCCTGCTGAAGAGGACGCCGCCATCTTTACCCCCACATTACCCAACATGCATTTCGCTCTCTTTCTGTATTTTATCATTATTTAATTTTTTTTTAAATAAATCATGTATTTTTATTTTCACGTGGCTGGTACAAAAGGTATTTATATCATAATTGTACAGACAGGTGCTACTCAATGATAAGATTAAACTAGAATAAAAAGCTACTTCTATGACGACCTTGAAGTTGGCTTCTGATTCGTAGGTTAAGGAGGACGTTTGAAAAAACTTTATTGAAAAAGTTTTGCAGAGCGATCAACATTTCAAATGTTACCCTGATGTTGATTTAGTATTAAGGAAAAAATGACGGGAGATAAGTAGAGGAAATAAACAGGGTGGTCACAGCAAAAACAAGTGCAGTTAAGTTTCAGTGCAATTTTTGTCTATCATGCATTAACGAGATTTTGCGACAAACCTTATATATTATATTATCTATGATTAAAGTGTTTACCTGTCAACCTTTTTTAATCCAAGTTTTCTCCAGCTTCAATCAACGTCACATTTAGAGGGTGTATCCTTATGTATTTAAATTGGAGCCAAACCTGAAAAAAAGATCTATTATAAATATTAAAAATATTATTCTAAATAAGTCATGTAAGGAATTATTTGCAGGTAAATTCTCAATATCCCTGTAATTTCTATTTAATTTTTAAAGATATATTGATAAATAAAGTCTCGATGTCAAACTCAATTCAGTCAAAGATTTCATGTCAGAAAATCTCACATGTGAAACAAGCTTCAGCCTTTTCCCGACCTGCCCTAATTAAAGATGGCGGCTCCGGCTTCAGTTAGTTAACAGCGCTTGTGGCTCCCTGCTGTTCGCCCACAGTAGCGATGGTGGGTATGAGTATGCTCAGGTCTGCCGCTGCCTTCGCGGCCAGGCTGAGTCCTCTGAAGTGTGGGAACACCGGGGCCCACTTACTCTCCAGAACCATCCAGAGGACAGACAAAGGTAGGAGACACCATGGCTGCCCAGCAGCTTTGAGGTTTGACTCTGAACGGAGCCGACTCTTCTGATGACCTTGCGCCGGGGCTAGTTAGCATGCTAACACGAGCTAACAGCCAGCGTCTGTCCTGCTGTCAACAAAAAGTCAAAAACAGAAATACCTTCTTGTTACCATTGGATCGAGTGGTGTTTGATAACTGACATTAAAGATGAAGTTTTAATTATAGTATGTCCTCAGTATAATAATAATAATAATGTGGCACAAGTGTCATACAGTATATTGTAGTTACTTTATTTCAAAGCCCATTAGAATCTATAGGATTCGCATTTAACTTGTTCACTACATGATCCTGTAAACGTTAATAAATATAACAACATACCAAGATGAAAGCTGAAGAAACAAGGACAAAGGAGAGATAGAAAATAAAGATACAGCTGTAATAATGGATCATAATAATATTTTTCTCTAAAAAATAATGAATAGCAATGTGGATATAATGCTGCATGGTACAAACATACAACAGCCATGTGATCACATGGATCTCTTAAAATGAGGAGACATATTATCCATGTGCTTTATATTACATAAACAATCAGAGTCCTGTATCAGTTTGCTGTACTTTGTTTTACAGTGGCCGTCCGTTGGGGTCATGGAAAGAAATTGTTTGTCGTCAAACCCTCTGACTTCTACGACAGGAGATTCCTGCACTTATTGGTGAGTAGTGAAGCACCAGTATAGTTATTACCACCTGTGTTCTGAGTTATTAGTGCACTGACTATTCTAAACATGCCTGTTTGGAATGGAATGTTTTCTCAAATAGCAATGGCAAAAAAACACCTTTCAGCATCAAGGAATTATAGTGTATTGGACACCACTAGTGCAGAGCAGCAGTCAATTTTTTTGTATTTCATTTTCCTCTTCCCCCTCCCCCCTCAGCAATATTACATCCTGCTGACTGGCATCCCCGTGGCTGTCATTGTCACAACTGTAAACGTCTTCATCGGTAAGTGAGCGAGTACATTTTGTGTTTTAGCTCCCTGTTTGAATCAGTTGATAAGATTTGCTCTTGAAACTTGTGTGTGATTGTGTTGTGAAGGTGAAGCAGAGCTAGTTGAAACTCCTGAGGACTACGTACCTGAGCACTGGGAGTACTACAAGGTATGTTGCAGATTTTCCCCTCACTGTTTTAGAAGGTTTTACCAGTTACCTCTCTGAACACAGATTTAGGGAAGGGCAAGATTTCACCATCATCGTCCCCACCATCACAAATCCTTTTAAAACTGCTACAAGTGTTTTATGTAATTTTCGGATCCTGGATATTTTTGCGAGTACACAGGCCACTATAAAGAGGAGAGAGGAGCCATGCACTGTAAACATTTCTATGCATGTGGTGATATTTTAGAAAAAATATTTGTTGATCACTTCATCTAACTGTAAAATCCATGAAAAGGTTTTTGTGTTTTTATTGTTCATGAACAGATTGAAATAGGTAACAAAAGGGTATCTTAGAATTGAATAGCACAATAGTAAGTATATCATGATGTCACATATTTATAGATTTAAGTAAATAGCGCTTAAAATTCCCAATGTGCTGAGGCAGCCCTGTGATCACAATCACATTTGACTACTGAAATTGTTGATAACCCTTTATTTTGTTTGCATCAAATACCTTTTCAGTTGTTACACATACTCTTGTCTTGTGTGTTATTGCAGCATCCCATCACCAGGTGGATTGCACGGAACATCTACGATTCCCCAGTGAAGGACTATGAGAAGATGATGGCTGCGATCCAAATAGAGAAAGAGAAGGCAGACATGAGGTGAGTGTTCGGACAGGTGTGTTGTGTTGCGGTACAACACTGTTGCATATATAAAATAACAGTATCTGAAAAAGTATGAAGGCAACCAATGCCAGTTTACAAGTAGTAGGGATCAGGTAATGGTAATATATCATAAATCATTTTAATTGTAGTAGGTGTTGAGTTGCAATGAGGTCAGAAGAATGGAAAGATGCTGTCCTGTAGTCCTACTGTATCCACAAGAAACCCAACTCAAAACCATTGTGTCAAAATGTCCCAGCTCTCAGTAGTTTGGACTCATGAGCAACATGACAATACTGTAAAGTTTGGACATGTCTTAATCACACAAGGATATTAATGACCTTCTGTGTGTGAGCAAAAGAAAAGCCAGATGGTTGTATCACAATCCCAGAAATCAATTCTCCCAACTCTGTGATTCACAACTCTAAACATGGTTTCATGAACCCTCTGTGTTTGCCGACAACAGGTTGACTCAGCTGGAGGTGCGTCGACAGATGAGGAACAAGGGAGACGGCCCCTGGTTCCAGACTGAGACCATCAATATGGAATTAATTGACAACAGCCCAAAGTCGTCACCTGACAATTAATCCAGATATGTCTGAACATCATGTTGATGAATCTGACTGTTTGTAAATGTTTTCCCCTTGCGTAAATAAAGTATCTGTGTACTCTGATATTTGGTCTTGAATGATCTGTGCAGAAAAATAACTTTAAGAAGAAGTTTTTGTAGATTACATTACATATAAAGCAAGTCTTCTTACACAAAGGTCCTGGGTTTCAAATCCACTTGTTGACTGTGAATTCAGCAAGTTTTCCCTGGTTGCTCGTGTTTCCTCCTGCATGTCCACAGACATTCACTGAGCACTTTATTAGGAACACATACACCTGCTTACTCGTGCCATCTTCCAATCAGCCAATCATGTGGCAGCAGTCCAATCAATAAAACTCTGCAGATAAATGTCTCTGGTTGTTACACAAAAAACTTTAAATAATTTAAGGTGACTTGGGCCTTGGCGGAGATATGTGCTCTCCTGAATACCATTCTAGGTCCCGCTCTTATCCCTGCTGCTTCCAATTCTTATAATAAAGTTTAAAAATCCTTTTTTTTATGACTTATGATTTTATGCTCTGGTCCTTGTTACGAACCATATTACTATTATTGTTACTATTGTTCTTTTGTGCAATGGAGGAGAGCGTCCACGTGGTGACAGAGTTGAGCAGAGGAGCTGTTGGACAAAGGCTTGTTGACACATGGGATGATTTGACATGTGGCTGCTGAAATCTCACACTGGACAAGATGCGAGTGAAACAAACGTGACCAGATGTTCATTAGAAACGTAAAACAGCGACAGGGATTTAAAATGAACAGACGAAGGTCTCTTGATCAAACTGTGTATTATTCTTTATAACAACAGAAGCTGCAGAGGAATGACGCAGCACCATCAGATACTGAAACTAATCAGTTTCCTGCAGGAGGAGAACACGCTGTAGTAAAGTGTGGGAGGTTTTGTGATTATAGTGAACCATGCTCGGAGGTGGGAGGGGCCCTCCTGCTTCACACAGCCCAGTGTAGAGGCTCTCAGAGCGGGCGTCATCTCAGCAGCAGCGGTGGAGGAGGTGGAGGAGGAGAAGGAGGAGGAGGAGGAGGTGGGTGACATGTATCAAAGCTTTATTTAAAACAACAACAAAAGAGCAACGTTAGCTTCCTCTTCCTTAGCTTAGCATCAGCCTCCTCCTCCTCCCGAGGTGTGGTTTTATTTTTATGTTTCCCGGCGTCACATCCCCCCTGGCCGGAGGAGGAATGTAGAGACAGGGAGCTTTAAAAATAGCCTCCTCTCCGGTGACAGCGCTGCTCCGGGGCTCCAGCAGCACTGTGCCGAGGCGAGCAGGAATGCGAAGATGGCTGCAGACCTGGGAGAGCTGCTGGTCCCCTACATGCCCACCATCAGGGTGCCCAAGACCGGAGACAGGGTGTTCAAGAGCGAGTGCACCTTCTCCTTCGACTCCCCGGTGAGTGGCAGCCTCTGTCCTGCCTCCCTGCTAACACACTGAGACACACTGAGACAGAGACAGACAGACACACACTCACTGGGACATGAGAGAAGAGGGTCGATTGGGGAGAGAAATGTGGGGACTGACAGCCTCAATAACACAAAAATGTCTCCCTGTGTGTGTGTGTGTGTGTGTGAGTGTGTGTGTGTGTGAGGAGAGAGGGAACTTGGAGGGGAAATAAATAAATAATGTTGTTTACCTCTGAGGAGAACAGAGAGATGGAGAGGGGACCCCCTTTGTGCAGTTTAAGTCATTACAATACATTACACTGAAGGGTCAACACACACGTGTCTCCGTGACTTCAGAGGACGTTAAATTGACTTCCATTGATTTCCTGGAGACTTATCTGACCTTAACCATATTTCCATCCCTAATCTTATCCTAAACTCAACCTTCAAACATGTCTCCAATATGAGGACACGCTTTCTGTCCTCATGCGGAATGCCATTTCCCACAATGTGTCTGTGTAAGCAGATTTAGGTTCTGAAGACATGGGTAATACCTGGAGACACACACACACACACACACACATACAGACAAACAAACACACTTGCCTGAAGCCACAGGAGTTCACCAATTTTTGATAGTGCTCACCATATTTATTAAAACAGATATTGTGTGTGTGTGTGTGTGTGTGTGTGTGTGAGAGACATACTTGGATGAAAGTGTGTGATATTACATCATAACTTTCCATTAAATGCTCTGAACAGTTAACTTTAAATTTGTTTTACTTTAAATGTGTCGTTTTGTCTTTGCCAAACTGTGCTGTGACGTATTCAGCAGTGAATATAAACTGCCCGTCCTCTTCCATAGCATGTCAGAGACTCATGCTCTCTATTTTTAGTGCTATAATGCTCATATATCGATTGAAGTATTTTTATTTCTCAGTAGTTAACTCTAATAATATGCTTTGATTTGATGGACGAGTGAGAAAGAGCATCTAAACTATTAGAATTATTCCGACTCTTTAATGCTTAAAACTCTCCTCTCCTGGTAAAAACATGTGGCAGATTCTTTTCATTATTTATTTGCTCTAAACATTTCTCACATTGAAAACGTACTTTTTGGACTGAAACCGTTTTTAAAGGTGACTCAGCTGTCTGGAGTTTATCATGTTGTCCGGAGGACTGGGTTATTTTTATCCTCGCTCTCTTGAAGCTCGTATGTCACTTTGGGCCACTTACAGGTTTATCACAGGGGTTTATAAGGCCCACACTGATCGCAGATATACACTATTCTTCATGTGTTTTGTCTCTGAGAGTCCACGTGTGATGGTGCAGGAGGGTGTTTTCTGTCCGAAAACTGGAGGTTGTTGTTATCCTGCATTTTAAAATGAACAAACCTCTGTATCCAGTAACAAGCTGTTCAAGAGTCCGTGAGAGATGTGACATCACTTTTATGAGAAATTAGTTTACTGTGTTTTTAAAACTGGAGCAAAATCTGCAGATCCTCACTGCCCCCAAAAATGAAAGAGATAATCACATTTTTTGATGCATTCTTTGGCTCGAATATTATGAACAGGCAACTATGATTTACAGTAGTAATCAAGATCTTTAGTAGCAGCCATTTGTTTTCTGTACTCTAGTGCTGGAACAGATTTTTGGCTGTTTTACAAGTTGTAATAAAGACTGTGAGTGAGAAAGCCTTTTAGAAAAGGTGCTTACAGAATCACTCACACATCTGTCAATTCCTCCATGAATTAGATAAAAAACTATTTAAAAAATGAATTATTCTGTGTGAAGATATACATTGTTGGTACTATGTCTGCCTGTCAGTTCATGGTTGGGCAAAATAAAGATAGGAGATGCTGATTAGTTAAACAGGGTCAATTTCATATATGATGTGAAGTTTTCAATGTTTTCAACATGTTACATTGCTGCTTTTCATTGTCACTGTTTGTTTTGGTCCGCAGGAGTCTGAGGGAGGCCTGTATGTGTGTATGAACACATTCCTGGGCTTTGGACGAGAACATGTGGAGAGACATTATCGCAAAACAGGACAGAGTGTTTACATGCACCTCAAGAGACATGTTAAAGAGGTATGTTTTCCACCACATGCTGTTCATATGTAATGGGAACTGATTTTTTAAACTGTTATCGACAGTAGATTTGGAGGCCGTAGTAATAAGAGCGGGTGTAGCAGTCCCCTTAATTTCAATAACAGTTTCCTAAATATGCCAAATTTTTTCATCAATCCATGAGTTATTCTCCGGGAAGTCTGTGATTATGTCAAATGCTCTGTCTCACAATGTTAAAGATCAACTGGACCTTTGTCTGGACCCCAACTTAAAAGTAATGGCTTCTTTTGGAGCCAATTTCCTATCCGGACCAATTGCTGTGGATTATGATACACAGAAGAGAATGAGGAAGAGACTGTGATGGATATTAATTAAGAATAGAACAGAAAAGTCAACACAACTACACTAAAGTGGTTAGAAGTGATGATCCGTGAACTGGATTTTTTCAGCAGGAAGCTTTTTTTCTGCTTCAGTCAGATCTCACTTATTTAAATTAAATTAGATTCTTAAATAGATTAAATTAAAATAATCTGTTTTGATATGTAATAAACCTTTAAATTCACACTTACATATTTACAAGCATCACACTTACACTTTGCTATTTATTTGAATGTAATTGTTTATAATACACTAAAATGTATTTGTAAGCAGACCTTAATGATTATTAATGTATTTGTTCACAAGTAACAAATGAACATTCAACATCTTTCCCTATATTGTAAAGAAAAAGCAAAAAATAAAGGATGATATTAATATCTATAAATATGTCTCCTCAGCACAAGTTACAAATACTTAACATTGCTATATGTTCTAAAATACGTCCTAATATTTAGTATTTAGTATATGAATATTTGTTTACTGTGTGTAAATGCTAGATAAGTTATTTTCACTCACTGGGATGATTTGATCCTCGAATACTTCACAGAAGCTCTGTTAAAAAAGATAAGCAGCAAAAATAAACTAAATGATACAAGACAGCAACAATAATAATAATAACATCAAATATAAAGTGATTGAATAAAATGTGTATTTACACAACAAATATGAAAATATTCTGATATGATACATATCCCTGAAGTCAAGTCAATTGTATTTACAAAGCACATTTAAAACATCCAGAGATGAGAGCTGACATTACTGTGCAATGCAAACAAGAAGAGAAGCACAAGAGGAAAGCAAAGGAAAAAAAGGTGACTGAGAATAACAAAAAAAAACCTGGGAAAACATGTGGCTCTTCAGATTATTAATTGTGAACTGTTACAACAAATACATGATCACCCTCACCCTCACCTCTAAAGCCAGGGACAACACTTCAGTGTTCCTACTATTTACAAGATACTTCTGATGTTCAAATGATAACTCGCCAACTTCATTTATCGTACTGACTTCTGTCGGTAGATGGGGTGCACAAAATAACAGGAACATTTTACAGTACAATACAATCTATCTAAACTAGCAACCTGACAACAAATACAGTATGTTTGAGTGTGACTCTGAACCAGAGAGCTGTTGGTTCAGCTTCATGGTCTCTTGAGGAGTGTGCTGTATTATATGACCTTACATTTTAAGGTGTTTCTGTTTTTGTTTCCTATCCCTGAAAGTACATAAAATTAACTTGCCAGAACTTTCCTTCTTTTATATGAACAAAGCCCACGTGAACGAACCATTTTTCATTTCATACTTCCTGGTGAACAGCAGAGGCTGTTGCTGCTGCCGTGTTTTCCTCAATGGCTCTAATTGCCCCCAGATAATCTCTGCTTTGTAAAGAGCTGCTATTTCCATGCCTGAATCTGGCCAGAAACAGCTGCTCACATTCTGCAGGCTCCTGTGTCTGCTGTTTTTTCCCATGAGTCTACTCGGTGTGTCAGCATTCTCTGTAGGTCTGCCCACTGTGTCCGGCTTCCTGTCGACTGAGCCACCTGAGCCTGATCAGGCTGGACGGACACCAGTCAGTGGTTCTTTGTCATTTTGCAAAGTCACTGACAAAGAGTTGGAAATATTTCTTCTTGCTATGAGTGTGTTAAAGACTGAGGGTTTAATGGTTTCTACCATCCTGGGAAACACACTGTGAAGAGAAAAATAGTAGGGACAGATTAAGTCGAGGACACAGTTAAAGACATGCCCAAATACACGGTTCTGTCCAAGTCTAGAAACCAACCTTAGTGTATCATTCTTTAATTCTGACTGTGCTCTCAAAGGGTTTTCCCCTCATCTTGTAACCTGATCTGGCAACTAGAACATCCAGCATCTATTTCTAACAAAATGACAACCATCTGTATCTTCTATCAAAGCAAAGGGAAAACGTTTCCTCAGCATTTTACAGTAAAAACCATTAAAGGTCTTTTTTTAATGAAGATTCTTTACTTCCTGTTTAATCTGTTCGTCCCTGCTGTTTGTTACAGAAAGCCACAGGAGCTGCAGGTGGTGCTATCCCCAGACGGAGAAATGGAAAAGTCTTTCTAGGTAAGTGTGGGTGGCAACAAGCAAAATATTCCATTACAAGTAAAAGTCATTAACTATTGTAAATATACGGCAGTATTTTCTGTTAAATGTACTTAAACTATATCTTAAAACCCTCCTCGTCGAGGGTTAAGGACAGAGGGTGTCGTACCTTGTACAATTATGTGAATATGGGCTATACACTAAATTTTAAATTGATTTAAAACGGCTACCATCTTTAAAAAACATGACAAATGATGAAAGGACCACAACTAGACACTCCTATTAATAATTCACAAGCTTAAAGTCGATATCTAATAGTAATTTAGAAATGAGTAGTAACGGTAATTGTGAGTTGTGCTTGGTGTGATCAGAAACTCTCTCTCTGTGCTCAAAGAACCACGTCCATTAAAAGCCACTGTTATTGTTTATAACACTGTGGTGACCAATCAGCTGCCCCTCCGGCCGGCCTTTACCCGAAAGCGTCAGATATTTCCTATGATGAGACCCCTCCTCCTCCTCCTCCTCCTCCTCCTCCTCCTCCTCCTCCTCCTCCTCCTGTGCTCTAAATATATCTCATTTATTTGTATATGTGGTTGGTAACTGTTCTAAATCAAAGCCTGGCCAACTGCCCTCCTCCTCCTCCTCCTCCTCCTCCTCCTCCTCCTCCTCCTCCTCCTGCTTGGTTTACAGTGGGGCCGCCTCCTGTCAGTCGCTGCGGCGTGTCAGCTGCCACCACCTGTCAACCTCTCGTCAAGGCTGACACAATTCTGCTGCAGCCGTGACGCTGCTGCTCGGAGAGGACCAGGTGTCTCTCTCTCTCTCTCCCGCCCTTCCTCCCCCGCCCTCCCTCACTGCTGGTGGAGGAATTCTTTCCACTCAGCCTCTTTCTAACAAACTTTCCTGTTTTCTTATCGCCAAGAATTCAATTGACTTTACTATCCATCACCTGACTCTGTCCCTGATAGAAATTTGTGAGACTCTCTCGTCCTTTAGCCTTGGTGATGATTCTTTCCGTTGGCTGTTTTAGATCTTTGTGACAGTGGACATGCATGTGTCCCCCGTCATCCCCACACCAGTCCAGTGATCTAATCGAGCCGCTGACGTCAGACCCGTGGTTGCCATGTCAGTGTGCACAATAACAATGTCAGGGATAACCTGTGATCTGTTTCTAATGAGTCATCACACGACTTTAGCGTGTGGTGGAAGACAGACGGACGGCTCTATATGGAGAGAGATTAAGAGGTTCACTCTGACTGCAAATTGTTTTTTAGGTTCAAGTTAAGTTCGGTATCATTTTGGTTTGAGGTGAAATGTTCAGGTGAGGAGAGAAATTAGTTATCAGATTCTTTCTTGTTTGTATTTGTATGATTTTCTTTGTTTTACTTGATAGTAAACTAAGGCTGGAATGAAATTATTTTGTGACCTAATAATCTAATTAATTCCTAAATATTTATCAGATGTTTCTTATAGAGTTTCTTATCTTGAGTTATCTGAACTGGGCTTTTGACCTAAGTCTCTCTGGGATTTAGAAAAGTAAAGCAGACTTTTCCCTATTTTCTGACATTTTAAAGCAACTATAGAAGTAATCAGAAGAGAAAAATCAGCATTTCAGTGAATAAAGAAAAGAATGGCTATTTGCTTCTCTAATTTGGATCCTTTATGTTTTCATTGCTGTTTGTCTGTTGGAATATGCAGAAACTACCCAACTGATTTTATTGAAACTTGGTTGAGGTGGGCCCGCATTCAGTTTTACAGTGGATTAGATGAACAGGCGGATCCAGGGTTTTTGTTTTTGCCTTAGCGGAGCTGTGTTCTCTCTGAGTGCCCTTCTGGTCTTATTATGCGAGCAATAATGAAATGAGGATTCCATAGCTGCACAGACAAACGTCACAGATTCAAACCATGCCGGATTCCTAAACATAGCTCAGTGTGATCAAAAGAGTCATTATCATCCTGTCACTGTAAAAAAAGATGCCATTGATGGCTTTCTTGTTCAATGATTTATCTGCTTGTACAATAGAACCTAAGACTGTTATTGTATTGACTAAAGGAACAAATGGAGAACATAAATAAGAACAGCTGTCACAAGAACAGAACATAAAATAAAAATAACCAGGAACAAACCCCATCATGGAATAATAATAATAATAATAATAATAATAATAATAATATAAGGTGATGTCAGTCAGTGTCTTAACTGCAGCTGACAGAGTGTCTGCTTCCTCCCTTTAAGATTTAGAGCTAAACCGTGATTTTAACGGAGAGGACTATGAATACGAAGATGAGGCCAAGCTCGTCATTTTTCCAGACCACTTCGAGATCCCCTTACCAAATATTGAGGAGTTGCCCGCTCTGGTCAGTGAGATGTCGCTGCACATGGGCGATGTGTGTGTTTCCATGCATGTTGAAGTGAAGGGTGCACTCAGTGGTTCCCCGAACTCTGGACAGATACATTCAAGAATGTAAAGAAGTAAAATATTTGTACAGTGTTGATGCATCACCATATAACCTTTTCTAGTAGCACTAATCTGACCTTTAGTCTGTTTTATTTAGATAGATTATGATGAAGGAGGTTGTTAAAACACTATTTCTCAACCTTTTTTCTCTGCATAAAAGAAAGGGGAACCACCAGGTGCACGCAAAGTTGCCTTTATCACTTTTGAGTGTGTGTTTGTTTGCATAGAGAAAGCTGGAGACATTTCACTCCTGTCTTTATTTATTTGTTGTTTTGCAGAAGGGTTTTTTTTCTTCCTGCTTTATGCATGTGTAATTTAATTCTGTGGATGAAGAAGTTGGGAAAACCTGATTTTGAAGTTATTTGAATGTTTTTTGTATGCTTGCTCCTCCTGTGCTGCTTCAGTCACTTCATGTTGCACAGCTTTTCGTTTTGGCACAAATCTTGCATGTCCAGTTTCCCCCTTTTTATGTTCATTTAATTTGCCTTTTAATGCTTGTAAAGTTGTTAAATTACAATTGGTGACATGATCTCACCCCACACCTACTTCCTGAAGTTGATAATGTCTCTGTTGTGTTGTTCGATGTCCAGGTGACCATCGCCTGTGATGCAGTGCTCAATGCACCATCAGCCTACAAGAAACAAGAGGCTGAGTCCTGGGAGGAGGAGATCCAGGTGTCCAGACATGCCAGGAGCCTCAGACAGCTGGATAATGGGGTCAGGATCCCACCCAGGTAGGGCAGACATTTTAGATGCTCAATAGAAGCAGCATAATAACACTTTGATTAATTGAAATAATCCTCTGTCATCTGAATTACGTTACTGTCACGATTAACATAAGCAAGCAATCTGTTTATTTATTTGTGCAGAGCTCCCTCTCAGCTGTATCACCATGATGGTAATAGAATCACAGCAACAGGTGTATTTTAGACTCACTGGGTATCTATAGACACTCTGACCCTGTGTAACCATTCATAGTTAAACCTGGTGCAGGTCAGGTCTTAACTTTCACTGATACTCTCGCAAAGAACAAAGAAAGAGCGATGGAGGCCCTCGCTTCATATAATATGTCCTCTACCAGCAACAGCTACACGAGAGCAGTTGTTGTAAAGATATTTTTACTGATTACTCAGAAATGACAGAACAAACACTCAAGAGCTGTTACTAACTATAAGATTGACAATGTTTGATTTCACACAGTTGTACATCTGAATAAATATTGAGATAGGAAAGAAGTGTTTTGCAAGTTTGATCAGAAACTACTTGCTTTTTTAAATCAGCTTCTTGTGCGTCTCAACTATTCATGTATTTATTATTATGCATAGAGGCTTTTGATGAGAAAATATTATTTAACCTTGCCTGCATTACTGTGACGGTCACTGGGGGAGCTGGAGCCAATCCCAGCTGACATCTTGCGACAGGCGGTTTACATTTACAGGTCAACAGTGTATCACAGGGCAAGCATACAGAGACAAACAACCAGTCACTCTCAATCTCCAATCAGCAAAACCCTAATCGGCATGTTTTGGACTGTGATAAGGATAAACAGTATAGATGATGGATGGATGCTTTACTGTGTCTTTTCCTGTCATCCAACTCATCTAAAAAAATATAAATCTCATCTCATCCACACCTGCTTGTGAGCTAAATGCATTTTTTGTTCAACCAAAATCTGTTTCTCTATCACTCCTAGCATGACTGCATGACACAACACAATAACACAACATTAACACGAGTCTCTGTGTGTTGTCAGTGGCTGGAAGTGTCAGAAGTGCGAGATGAGAGAAAACCTGTGGCTCAACCTGACGGATGGTACAGTGCTCTGTGGGAAGTGGTTCTTTGATGGGAGTGGAGGAAATGGCCACGCTCTGGAGCACTACAGAGAGACCAACCACCCCCTGGCTGTCAAACTGGACACCATCACCCCAGACGGAGCAGGTCTGAGACACATGATGTGTTCATGTGAACTGTTGCATCTGAGTTCATGTTCATGTTCCGTCTCCTCTCAATTACCGAAAACATTTTACTCATCTAAATGAGATTTTTGGGTATCGTATGAAGAATTTATTGGCCAGAAATCTGTGATTAGAAAACTTCAGCCTGACCGACTGCTCTCTTGGTTTCAGATGTCTATTCGTTCGAAGAGGAAGAAGCCGTGTTGGACCCTAACATATCAGACCACTTGGCACACTTTGGAATAGACATGCTACAGATGCTGCAGAAAAGAGTAAGTTATCTTCAAGATGTTTTTACTAATAACAATTTTCAACTGCATCTTTCTCAAAAACATTTGAACTGGTGCAGTACAGCAGGTAGAGGCTGATGCCTGGTCTGTGTTAATCACATTCAACACTGGACTTCCATGAGTCTCACCATGGCATGCCCTCACAGTTGAGTTCTGCCTTTGTTAAACCCTGGCATCTACACCTCGTATATTGTTCAGATGCTGTACTGGCCTCATAGTGTATTTTCACCTTTTTCTTCAACACAAGTAACGTGTAGTAAAGAGATTCTTGAAGTTTAAAAGACACTGAACTTCCTTGAACTTCCTTGGCTCCTTAGCAACACAGTTCCCAAGTTTAAAGTTGATCAGATGAGTTGATGTTGGAAAAAATTCAGAGGGACGGACAGATTTGTCCATTTATCATTAGATATCCATTAATACCAAACTTAAACCAAGGTCTTGACACCGACCTCTACTCTTTCCCCTTCAGACAGAGAACGGGCACCACACAGATAATAATGCACGTCCGCGAGTCAGTGAATGGGAGGTGATCCAGGAGTCCGGCATGAAACTGAAGGCGGTGTACGGTTCTGGATACACGGGCGTCAAGAACCTGGGCAACAGCTGCTACCTCGGCACAGTAATGCAGGTTCTCTTCAGCATCCCAGACTTCCAGAGGATGTGAGTACTGAACGCTCCGATGAGGACTTACTTAAGAAAACATGCTTGTTTTTCTGTATTATGTCTAGTGACTAAACTTAATGTAGAAGATTTTAACCATTTCTAGAAATACTATATGCAAATATATTTAAATGGGAGATATTTAAGGATTTTTTGCTATAGAGTTCCTGGCAGCATCTTAATTTGTGAGTTTCTTCACCACATGAGATACCAAACAGAGGTTTATTAGCCTGAATAGTTTGTGCCGACATGAAATTAAAAATGTATTTTTTTTGTGTTTTAAATTGAGACAGATCATTGACTATAAAAATGGCACAGCTGCCGATATGGAAAACGCATGTGTGAATAGTACATTATACACATCATACGAATTGTGTTCCAGCAGAGATTTAATGGGTATTTTATGGTGAAAGTTACTAAAGTAGAGTATGACCTCGAGCGTTTTCATAAACACATGACACGTGGCATGTGTCTGTATGTGGCGCTCCATGTGCTCCGTCTGAGGTGAGCTTGTGACATGTATTTTGATCTTCAGGTATGTGGGAAATCTTCAGAGGATATATGACTATTCACCCCTTGACCCCTCCCAGGACTTTGCCACACAAATGTAAGTGACGTCAGTCTTACATACACAGTGAACACACAAACAAGTGAAGGTGTTTTCCAGCTGTTGAGATTTTTTTTTTTTATGAGTATCAACTTTTAATTCCCCATATAATGACTTTTGTTTTATAAATCAGAATTAGTTGATAATTGTAAAAAATATAACTTTGATCAAATTATCAAATTTTAGGCTAAAGACAGGATTCACAGTGAAAAGAAATTAAATATTTTATTAAAGATTTTCCATCACACTTAGTAATAAAACTAAACAATAGAGTAAAGCTTACATGAATGTGGAACTGCAGTAATATCCTGAAGACAGTGATACTGGTGAAATTGATTCTACTAAAACAGGCTGAGTCACTGCCCCCAGCTATTATGAGGTGTAGCATTTTTTTCTAGACGGGCGGTCTGGATTCTCTCGAAGGAGCAAAAACACTGAATACTGTGAGAAAGAGAACTGATGCTCATTAATAAATTCATTACCACCAAAAAATAGTGATACAGCTACAGACCGTGACAAATAAAGAACTGAGCTTCAAAAAAGAAAGTCAGATATTTGTGGCTGTTTTGATGTGGAAACGACATGCATGGTGTTTAGGGTGTTTTTTTATCTATGAAAACAAAATCCCAACAGGATTCTGGAGACAGACTTTATTTTACAACGTTTCTGCCTTTGTTTTTGTCCGACAGGGCCAAACTGGGACACGGACTACTCTCAGGCCAGTTCTCCAAACCACCCATGAAATCTGAGCTCATTGAACAGGTGATGAAAGAAGAATACAAGGTATTAAACTGGGTATGTCCAGCTCCAAAACTTGGTCCGTAACAGACAGAAGCATGCAAATACTGACTGTTAGTAAAGTGAATCTTATTAGGATGTCAGTGCAGTGAAGCTACATTCTGTCAGTCTGCCATGTTCCCAGTCTAAACATGAAACGTCTTTTCATCATAAAATTCTTCTGTGTTATTAATACACTTGAGCCTTTTTGAGCTTTTCAAAAGAGTTGATGGAAACAAAAGATGCATATTTTTTTTCCTTCAGTCTGAAAATAACTGGTGGGTTCAGTCCAAAATGTGCAACTGAGATTGTTTTTCAGTTCCACCCCTTCAGGCACTGCACAGACACAGAAGTTTTCTTTTAATTTCCCACATCTTTGCTTAATTTAGTCACAGACATGAGCTGTGCGTGATTATTATGTGAATATGTTTTGATTATTTCTGTTTTTCCTTCACTATTTGAAATGCATATTATATGATATCGTTGCCGTTTTAACCACAGTCTGTAGTACACAGCTGTGAGGGAATATAAAGAGGAAAGCCTTTAAATCTTAATGGGACCCGGTGTTTGTTCTGTAAGCTCCAGGCTTCTTTAAAACCACACAGCAGCCTCAGTAATTTAGCACAGAGCTGTGATCCTGCACTTTCTCCACATGTGATGGTGGAGTCAGGTTTGGACACACATTGACAGCTGGGATGATATCGGGGGGAGGGTCTGTGTTGGCATGCGGTATTCAGTTTGTGCTAAGGACATATGACCCATTACAATTACAAATACTCATTAAAGTGGCTGTTTGTTAGTTTTCTTAGTGGAGCTCCAAAAAAATAGTTTCCAAGCCAATACATTTCTAATGAATATGGAAATGTCTGCGTATATATATTTTTAATACTTTTTAAACAAGCAAAAGAGGTTAATACTGATATTTAATGGTGCTAATGATATTCTATTTATCACATCCAGAAAAAAAATGTTTTTCAGAGAAATGTCAAACTTTTGCAGTTTTATGCAGCAGAAACTTAAGTTACAGATTTAATCAAGTCTCTTCTTTTGAGGACAAGGTAAAACATGTTGGACAATAACTTGATGCTCATGGCCTGGTACCAGCCAGCCTCCGGGAGCTGCTGCTGTCTGAGTATCATTCCCAGGTGAGTGAGTGGTCAAGTCAGTGTGTGTGTGACACCGAGATGTTTTTATTCCAGCACCAGCAGAAGGGCGTCTCCCCGAGGATGCTGAAGGCCCTGGTCGGCCGGGGACACCCAGAGTTTTCCTCAAACAGACAACAAGATGCTCACGAATTTCTCCTGCACATCATCAACCTGGTGGAGGTGAGTGAGGTTGAACTATTCCAAGTCTGGTGTAAAGAGACCCTGCCGATCATAAACTTTGACGGCTCCATTAACCTTTATTTTCTTCACTGTGAAATCATAACATTTTCATAAAAAGTCTGGGACACGTCTGAGCCCTGTCAATCATGGGTGGGCAGCTGATCGAGAGGGGAGGATCTGTTTTTCACTAAACACGCCACACGAGTCGCTCTGATGTGTTTTTCTCAACCTGGATATAAATAGCTCAGCGCTATCTGTTTCACAGTGAGACCAGATAATGCTCCCTGTTCTGCCTCAGCGGCAGGATACCAAGTGCTATGACTCGGAAACTTCCGACAACTCACGTGGAGAAGATCCACAAGTCAAACCAACCAGATTCTCGTGACCTCAGTTTGTACAGATCTGCCTCATTATATGAGGGAAACCTGAGCGTGTTGTGGTGGATTTTGGTTCGTTGGAAAATGCCCCTCACTGACCTCCTCCCTTCAGTCCACTACCTAGATACTGATTGATTATCCAGGCACAGACTGAATATGACTAATCCCAGCACCATCAGCAACATTTTCCTCGTCTGTGTCAGCCTGCATGTGTCGGCCCGAGTAAAATTATAACTTGTGTATTTCTGTGACCTCTTAGAATAGAAGTGCTGGCTTGCGGAGAAGCCGCCAATCAAACCACTGTGTTAATTCAAGATGTCATCGCAGTTTAAACTTCAATGACCCGGTGATCATACGCAGTGAAAGCACACAGAGCCGCTGTGTAATAATACTGAACGTGTCCACCGCTCTGAAGAGATGTAACACTCTCTAATTGAAGCGGTTTCTAAATCTAAAGAGTTGCAACTAGATAACGAACGACTTTATTAAGAGATCTGGGTCAAACAGCAGGCGTGTTCAAGTCGTGCCAGGAGACAGTGAGGGGACACAGCAAAGAATAGCTGACAGATAGAGTTGCAGTGTGCGAGGTACATGTGAAGCTTCTTTTTAATAATATTGTTTGAGCACTTTTTGGAGACTAATACTTCAGTTTTTGACATGGAACTGACATTTTACTCTACCAAATGTTTGAAACACCATTTAAAGGTTCAGTATGTAAGATTTAGTGACATCTAGTGGGGAAGTTGCATGTTGCAGCTGAATACCCCTCACCTCACCCTCCCCTTCCAAACATGAGAGAGGACCTGTGGTAACCTTAAGTTGTCCTGGTTTTTTAGATGAAACACACAAGCGAAAACATCACAAGGATTATTTTACATTCAATTTCAGCCAATAGATCCCTTTCACCAATATCTTACACAGGACCTTTAAGCCATTGGACTCAAATGGGAACCAAGCAGTACAGTTAGCTGACAGACATGACTGCCATTATAATTTCATTTGAAGCAGGAATACATCAGGGAAGAAAACAAGCTTATCCTCTGTGTATCCTCTGTGTATCCACTATTGTCTGTATATACCAAAACCATCTTATGTCATGATTTTGTTGTCGATAATCAAACTCGCCCTCTCATCCTCCCTGTCTGACGTTGTTTCTACAGAGGAACAGTGCAGGCTCAGAGAATCCAAGTGACGTCTTCCGATTCCTGGTGGAGGAGCGAGTTCAGTGCTGCCAGTCGCGTCGGGTAAGGTACGCTGAGCGGGTGGACTATTGCATCCAGCTGCCAACCCCCATCGAGGCTGCCACCAATCGAGGTACTGGTAATATTTTATTTTAGATGTTTGGTTTTAGTTAAATTACTCATGTGTTTATTTATGATGTATCGTAAAATGCAACTTGTACTAGCCTTCATGATATCATGGAGGGCCGTGGATCTTTACCATTTATTTTCCTTTTAATCTTTCCAGAGGAGCTGCTGGCATATGAGGCCAAGAGGAAGGATGCTGAGGAGAACATGAAGGCTCCTCCTGAGCCAGTGAGGGCGAGGATCCCCTTTACCGCCTGCCTGCAGGCCTTCACCGAGCCAGAGAACGTCCCAGACTTCTGGAGCTCTGCGCTACAAGCCAAGTCTGCTGGAGTCAAGTACGTTTTTCTTGCTCCTGGATTGACTACTTGACATCTTAGTGTTTTCCAATAGTTTTTAAGTCAAACATTGTTGAATCTATAAACTCTGTATTCTTTCATTATAAACCCCTCCTTTTCAAAATTGATTTTCTTTTCCTCTGCAGAACTTCCCGTTTTGCCTCCTTCCCAGAGTATCTGATTGTGCAGGTCAAGAAATTTACATTTGGGGTTGACTGGGTGCCGAAGAAACTAGGTAACCGTCTGTCTGACTTCACTGATTAACAGGATTTCAAATGTTTCTATTAGTCTCTACCAATGTTTCAGTTAAATCTAGTGTTTGTAGTGTTAGCGGTGCCCAGGAGAGGGCAGCGTCGACCTGTGATTCAGAACATGGCAGCTGAAATAATGTTTTTGCAGACAAACCTCCTGTTAAGAGCTGCTGCAGTTTAAAATGTAATTAGACACAGAATTTACATAAATAAATTAGTGTTGTGATGCAGCTTGAATTTATAAAGAAATGTGAAAACATAAGTAAATTATGAAAACAGATATTTATATATTTATCCCAAACCCATTACATTATATTATTTTTATATTTGAGAGTTTAGAGCAGGAGATAAAAATAAAAATGAAGAGCATTGCACGGCCCAAACTTTGAAAAAAAAGTCAGCATTTTTATTCATGTCTCTATCTGTACAGACTTGGCCATCGATGTTCCGGACTTCCTGGACCTGAACCGGTTGCGGGCCACAGGGCTGCAGGCGGGTGAGGAGGAGCTGCCTGACCTCATGCCCCCCATTGTGCTCCCTGAAGACACCAGAGGTATGAACAGGTCTCGTTCACGTTGTGAGGTGGAGGTGATACCTCTATTGTGCGTGTATTTGCATGTTTGTGTATAGACTGTATATAAAGATGGAGGACGTGGCTGCTCCCCAAAGCATGTAGATCACCATCTGGTGGCTGGCTGCAGTATAGGTCATAAATCTAGCCTTCTCCGTGTTAGTCGATGGTACGTGGACTAAACTAAAAATTCCATGTGAAATTAATGGTTTCTGTCATTTTGGGTAATTTGTTTTTCAGGTAACTTAAATTAGTTATTTGATGCAATGAAAATGGAGTAAAAGGTCATTATTGATCCAGATGACAATATAGTTATAATATAGCATCTGTTGCTGTTTTTAATGTGACTTTTTTTTATATTCATTCCCGTTGCATTGGTGCCATTGTTGGATCTGCTTCAGATACATTTTGCTGTATTCAGAGCAGACACTGCTCCATTTATCTCACCCAGAATTCATTAGGTATCCTCTGCTCACAGGCCCCCATGAATCACCTCCTGTGGCCCACAGGGGCATTTACCCTCCTGTATGGATTCATGGGAAACAAATGACTGAAGGCATTTTTTTGGCCCTTCATTTCAATTTCACAGTTGTGTTATTGCTCTCCCTGAGCACCCGTGCTTTTGTTTTTTTATTCACTCAGATAGCCAAACATATTTTCACTCTATTTTTATACCTGAAAACACCTCTCAATCTGTGAGACAGTTTCTAACAGATTTTACCCAATAAACAGGTGACTCCTTGTTACTATGACCAGATGTGTGTTGTTGCAACGCCGCAGCCTAACATCCATTTTGAGGAGGTGTTGGGTTTGTTTTGTGACAGCGTTAAATGATCTGTGAAATTGTCTCCAATATGATATTCTGCTCAAAGCCACCCAAGTTTTCTCTGAAGGGCGTAATGAATGGAATCATATGAGAGAGCCGTGAGCTCAGTGTGTCACTGAAAATGTGTGTCAGTGTTTACTTGGTGATATTTCCAGAATCACATTACGGCTGTTCCTCTATAATCTCATTCAAATGTCATCGCCTTAAATTTTTTTTTAATATTATTATTATAATGTTCAAATATTTAATGAAATTTAGCCTATTGTGTACCATGGATACAGCAGCGTGTCTCAGGAGCGTCTTACCCGCCTGTGGACAACACACACGAGTGAGTCACCGCAGATGAGCGAAGGAGGCCGAGCCAAAATATTTATGAAAGACAAAAACAACCTCCCTCTTTGTGTTTGCTGTTCTTTGACTCTGTCTCCTCTGTGACGGTTATTTCTCTTCCTCCCGTCCTGCTTCCGTTGTCTGCAAACTTCGGCTACATCAAGTTATCAGTGTCCTGCTTAATATTTTAGTAGGCATGAAGCACAAAGTGTTCTGTACCGCCTCAAGCTCCAAACAAAAAAAGCGGTCCAAAGAGCAGCGCAGAGTCACAGTAACACAGTAACATCTGTGAGCAGCCTTTGCTTTGCTTTATAATCTTGTTTTTTAGAGCTTTACAAAATCATTTAGCTGGCTGCGTCTCACGACAGGAAACTCTGAGGAACATGTTTTGCCTTAATATTTCACCACCGCACTGTATGTGCTGTTCCTGCTCTCTCAGACCTCCAAAACACGCTTGCTTCTTGGAGGATTGCAGCGTCTACGTAAAACTCCTCAAGGTCTCCCGCACATTGAATTGAACAGCTTTTGTCAAGAAACACACGGGGCCACTGCAAAATCAATTCAGGGAAATATGTGTATGCTTGGGATGGAAGAGCAAGGTCTACAGCAACATTACAGACACGCACATGCTGTAATAAAACAAAAAAAAGACCAACGTGGAACTGATAACTTATAGTCTACAAACTCCCCGGTCAGAATTTATTAACAACACACTTGTCTCGGCTGTGGGAAAGACGATAGATAACTGCTGTCACTGTCTGTGGCGTCATTCTTTGCGAAGCTACTTCATTTCAGTATTTCTAGGACTCCTATATTACTGTCATACTTGACAGGGGTCTAAAATTGCTTACAAAGGTCTTAAATTTAACTTATTAAATCCTTGAGGAGTAATTTGAATGTTGTATTTTGCATGTGTTCCCTGTTGACTCCCCCCACTGCTTCCGTTTCTATAGAAGAGGTGAAAGCAAGTTCCAGTGTGTAAAACATTTGGTTCAAACTCTGAATAAAAAGAGGTCAGAGGAGATAACATGCTGTTTTCGATACATTCACCAATTTATTTACTTCACATTTGGTTTGATGGGTTCTGTCAGCTGCAAATTAACCACCGGCCCATTATCCTGCAGCTGGCATCAGCAGTTATTAAGCACTGGTCACTCATCTGTCTCCACAGGCTCCAGTGCCTCTCACCGATTACACTGCACCACATAAATGTGTTTTCCTGTACGTTGCTGAGCCACATGATTTCTCACTGCTTTTTGCATCATACATTCACATTGCATTCACAAAAAAAAAGAAAGAAATTAGATGGTGGCTTTCATGATTTACTTCTTTTGATGCATAAAACCAATAATTAGAAACCTCACAAACCTTATAGAAATTGATTTCTGGCTTTGGCTTGTTTGTTAATCTGATTATCCCTTTCGAGAATAAAATGGAAAACCCCACTCAGGTTTAATTTCATATAATCCTTGTTTTTGTAGAGGTAGTTTTTTTCCTAATTCAATTAAAATCTGTAAGAAAGGGAGGAAGCACACAGGAGAATGGGTGTGTGAAACTTAATGTGCTCAAAGTATTAATGAGAAGAAGAAAAAACAAACCCCTCCTGCAGGCCTGTGTTGTCACAGTGCTGTTATGTCCATGTTGAATAAATGATGATTGGCAATGATCAATTCTCTTTGTCCATAATAACACTGCACGCTGGGGGGAGGCTTTGCAGAAGCTGAACGTGTTTCAAATGAGCAGAAGTTGTGATTGCAGTGTTTTTTGAGCAGCAGGAGTCTGGAGTTGATGAAAAGGTCTCACCTAGAGGCTGCTCTGATGATGATTTGACTCGCGCGCGTCATGCAGCTGATTTCAATTGGCCCTATCAGTAACGGGGAATATCCATAGTTTGACTGATTGAAGTGTCCAGAGTGCTGAATGGATAAGGCACTTACCATATCATCATGATATTTTTGGTCTGAGGATCCTTGTAACATGTTTCATGTTAAATGCCTCTTTCTCCTCTTGTTCCTGCTTCTTAACAACACTAAAGAAAACAACACTATTATTATATATATAGTCTTTATAATTTGGATACATTTTATTAATTTCATTGACAGTGAAAGTCCATCATATACAACATATAACATATAAACAAAATCAAGTCAGGTCCATTTAATTTTGCATAGAACAATATATACATAATCATAGTTAAGTGCTTAACACTAGTTTTAAAGATTTTTTTTTTAAATGAAGCCCCCAGAATTAAAACTACTTAAGAATCTGTTGCCTCACTGCACACACAATAATTGTCTTGTCATAAGCCTGAAAAATGTTGAGTACATAAAAGCCAACTAAAATAGTTTTCTGCCTCTTTCAGATAACTCAATGGGCTCTGTGGACTGTGAGTATTATATTTCTCTTCTCGTTTACTCTGTGATACAGTATGTGTATGTGAATATGTGGCATTTCTATAAGTTATAGCTTTGGAACATGTATTTTGGTCACAGGGCAGTATAGTGATGAATGCTACAGAGCTAAACCTCATGTGCACCTGAGCAGGTGCTGCAGCTGCGGCTCAAACTAACTTTTCTGTTTGGCTCTGCTCATTTTCGCCACACTTATTTCTCTCTTTGACATATCAAGCCTCAATAAATAAACCTCTCCTGGGGCCGACCCTCCACTGCTCTTTATGTTCCATGAGGCCCAAAGAGAGAACCGCCGCTAACTCTGATTGGCTGATTAAACTAGAGGGTTACCTGTAGTGTAGAATCAGCACCTGCATGTTGCAGGTATTGATGTCGGTCTGTGTGTCTGCAGCTCCAGAAATAGACGAGGTGGCAGTAATGCAGCTGGCAGAGATGGGGTTCCCGCTGGAGGCCTGCAGGAAGGCTGTGTACTACACAGGCAACATGGGTCCTGAGATGGCCTTCAACTGGATCATAGCCCACATGGAGGAGCCAGGTGAGGAGACATCACTGCACTCATGAGACCATGCTGTATCTATGAGCAATATGCTTTCACATTATATTTAGAGTTCGTATACTGAGCCTTGTATATAATGGATGGATGGACTCCTAGAACATTGTCAGACTCTTGATGGACAGGTAAAAAGATTCTCAGAATTTAATCAGCAGAACCATCTATTTATTCCACACATTCTTCTTCTGTGTCAAAACTTGGTGCTTATGTTACCCACAATGCACTCCAACTGCTGGCTCTTTGGTCAGAGTGTCGAGTGCGTTATGCTTGTGGTGGTTAATGAATCCTTGAGCTTCTAGCCTCAGGCAGGGAGTAGAAGAAGACTAAAGAGGAAGCTCACTTCGTACAAACTCAAACTTCTCCAGAATTGAAATCTGTTATTATCACCATCATCAGCCCAAGTAGATTGAAGGTTGTGGGATTATGGGATGTTATCATGAAAGAAAAAGTCACCCCAGTAAATGTATTATAATGTGGGGGTTAGAGCAACACTGTGTAACTTTAACAGAACAACAGCTGGTACTGTGACAAAAAAAGAACAAACTCGGTTAAGAATTCTTCAAATTTTAAAAGTTTCTTTGATAAACATCGGAGATACATGCAGGTTTTTAATTACTTCAGAGTTTTTTTAACTGATCTACATTTCAGCATTACTCTTGACTGACTGGGCCTGATTCTGGCAATTTAATCAGCTACCATCAGTCAGTTACACACAGGTGATCACAGTCGCTCACCGAAGTAGTGCAAGAACACGCTCAGGGGGAGGAGTGGGAGTAAAAGTTGCATCGCTCTCCCGATTCCACGTCAGTGAACCATTAAACTCATTTTGAAGATGCCCTTTTAAGGTAACAATGTTGCAGTTTGTTGCTTTAAACATTTAAACAAGGTCCTGGATGAGATTTCTTCCCTGATTGTGGGGATGGGTTCATCTGGGTTAAATCCCACAAGTCTGAGCCCTGATTTAACCATGAACACTGACAGTCTACATCACACCAAGAGGCGAGGCAGGCTTTTTTTCTATGGGACCTTTTAGACACAAAGGGAATTGAAAGTGAGAGACACATCACATCACCCAGAGGCAAATCAGAGCTGTTTTTAAGAGTGTCACACTTTGCATCCCTCTGTGTACTGCATGCGTCTGTCATCATCAGAAACTTTGTCGCAGCTGACTTCGTCTCTTGCAGAGTCGCTCCGCAGCGAAGACGTTCCCCCGTGGTGTTAACTCGTGTCACTTTTATTTCCCTGGTTGGCCTCTACAGTGGAGGAAAATTAGAGCAGCCCCCTGCCTGTTAGATTTTAAATGGGCCTAATGCATCTGTAAAATAGGCTGCGTTCAGGCGCAATAACACGAGTAAAACACTCTGTGCCTTTCTGCTGCACAGAGATTACTTGTACTCCTGCCTCACATTTGTTTGCTTTCATTTCTTCACTATTAGCATAACTTCAGCTCATTTATTTTAAGTCAATTTTTCACATTATAATTTTCAGACGCAGTGGCAGTGCCTCATAACATTTTCATTTGACTTAAGTGAACCCCGAGTGCTGAATTTACAGAATTAGACTAATGGCATCATCTTAGGAGGGAGAAAGTCAACTCAGCATTATTCACTATTTGATATTAGTTTTCAATGAATTTGATCAAAACTAAAAATGAGGCCACAGCGCATAGAAACTTCAACAATGTCTTTAATAACGGCTGTAATGAGAGTCACAGATTCACATAGTCAGAAGTTTACTCTGGAAGTTAAAGGATAAAGAATTTTAACAGTGTCTAAAGGACACGGGATGATGCAGCAGAGCTGGTAATGGCAGTGGGGGATAAGTGCAAGGAGAGTGATGAAGGCTTTGTTTATCACTAACAGCAGAGCACTGAGTGTCCTTGTTCCTGGGTTGAGGGTCAATTCACTCTCATTGGAATCTCTTGAAAGTGCATTAAAGAACCTGGGTTCAGAATTGGAAAAACTTTATTCTCACATAAGTGTGTAACTGTTTACCCCAGAAAGACCTACAGTCAGAAACACTGAGTTATGAACTCACTAAACATCACAATAAATCTTTATCAAAAAAGTATCTTTCCTATATAGTTAACTTAGTGGACAACAAAACAGACATGAAGAAGACATGAGGAAAATGATGTGTGTTAGTCAAATGTTGATTGTGTGTGTCTACTCGCTTTTGTTAAGTCTTTAGGACCTTTCCAGCATAAACACTGACCTTGTCAGGATCAGTAGACCTCATGGGGACCAAAGCCTGGTTCTAGTGAAGCTAAACATCAATTCTGAGGTCCTGGTTAAGGTTAGGGGTGTGTATGGTGGTTGGGTTGATGTAAGGGTTAGCCATTAATTGGTCATGGTAAAGGTCGGAGGGATAATGTTTTGGTCAGGCTGTAAATGCAGTCTTTAAAGGATAGTTGTGCAGGGAAATCCCCAACTTTATTCAAGGTAACGAGATGTTTCATTTTGGTCTTGTTGTAATTGTGTCACACCTGTAGCTTTGTCTGTCTCTGCTTTAACTTCTGGGACAAACGAAGTATGACACAAAACACACTGTTAGCCACTTAGCCAGATAGCTGTTTTTTCCTTCCACTGTTTGTATTGGTCACTCGTAATAGATTTTCATCGGCAGTGGTGAACGGCAACAACTCCCATGATCCCACGCTACTTCATGATGTCATCAAACTAGGTCTTCTGTTATTGTTCTTATTGAGAGACCTCTAGTGTAGGAAGTAACGTATTGGACATTCAAATCAACTGGGTACAACAGCAACACAGTGAAAATACTCTACCAGCTTTATTTTGTCACAGCAAGCTCTGAACTACAAATAAATATCTAGATTCTGCTAACTTTTACCTCCAACACATATAAATTAATTACTGGACTCAAAATAAACACAAGCTGCGGCATCACATTGTTATTTTCTTTTGTCTTTCTACTCAGATTTTGCTGAGCCTCTCGCTCTGCCCTCCATGATGGATCCTGGTCCCTCCACCAGTGACAGCCCCATGGGTGCCGCCACGCCTCTGGCCAACTCACCCCCCGAGGAGAGCATCGCCATTCTCACTTCTATGGGCTTCCCTCGCACTCACAGCATCCAGGCGCTCAAAGCCACGGTCAGTCCGCTGCCCACTCTGTTCTTCATGTTTGCTCTTTGTATTGTTAACTAACACAGACAGGTTACAGTCTGTATTTATTTTTCTTCTTCTAATAAATTATTTCTTTCAGCTGATAATTCTTAATCCTCAATGTTTTGAGGCCTAATTCATTTCTTCCTGTGGCTGTATCGTGTAAGTGGCAGTGATAACAGTGATTTGTTTTGAATGAGCACAAGGAGAACTGAGCAGCCAGCGTGGGCTGAGATGGTCGCAATTTCTGATCTGAAAAAGAAAAAAAAAGAAAACATCCGTAGGAGGTGCTCAAGCCTTTGTCTGTTTCTCATAGAAACAATTTAGAGTAAAAAAAAAAAAAAAAAGTTGAGAGAGAGACAAAGTGAGGAGCAAGAACCACCCACACAGTTTGATAAGTGTCTCTGAGAAGTGCAGGACAAAAAAAGCACAGCGACAAAACCTGGCTGACACCACAAAAGTTGTCAGACAAAAAAAAGTAAAATAAAGAAATTGCAAACTTTTCATGTGTTTATTCATAATGGAATGAAAAATGCACATTGCTACCCCATTACAAAAAACTACAGAGACCCCGTAAGGTCAGGGCGAGAATTTATTTAAGGATTAGTTTAGCGGTCCCTCACAGTATGTTTACTATGTTGAGTGTGTTCTTACAATAGTTTCTCCTCATTTCATTATAGGTGCTCAAGTATGCAGTCATCAGCTGTCCTCATGAGAGACGTCTTGATCTAACAATGGAATAAAATAAATGAGTCATTTCAGTTTACAATCACTAATTATATACACATCAGTTTAGCAGTAGTACTATTTTTGTATACTTACACACCCCGTTGAAAGTAAAATTCAACAAGCTGCTCTGAACTGCAGGGGTGAGGGGAAATCTGCTCCATATTAGAGTGTGGATACCAGACCCAAGTCATTCATACACTGCATCTTTGTGCAGCATTGCCTCTATCATACATCATTCACATGTTGCTGGCAGAGCCGTCAGGGGCACTTTGGGGGTTTAATATTTTGCCCGAGGGCACTTAGGCACATGGAATGGGGGGAGATGAGGATCAAACCTCTGACTTTCTAGTCAGTGGATAACCCGCTCTACCTCCTGAGCCACAGCTGCCCCAAACACATTAAGACGTAACGCAAAACTAATCCTCAAGAAAATCTTGCTTTAAGGGGCTCTGTAAAAAACATGAAAGAAACTAGACGATAAAAACCGAAGTGAGAAGAGAGGGAGGTGTTTGAAAACAGGTTGAGAGGATGAACGCCAAGCTCTGTCAGTCAAATTTGGACTTGGCTGACCCAGTTGTTTGCTTTCCAAACTGCAAATTTAACAGGTCGTACATGTCGGAGTGATTAAAGTGGTCTGCTCTCTATGGTGTTTACAAATAGTCCCCGCAGAATAAGGTCTCCTCCGCTGATGAAGCCTGTCAGGCTTAGAAACAGGATCTGCCTCGGTGACATGTGGGGACACTGCATCAAAATGTGTGTGAAAATGTACAGTGCAAAAGTTGGTCAGCTCCCTGTTTGGAGATGGCCTCTGATTCTCACGTTTCACATTTCAAACTGCATCCTCTGCAGAAAGTAAGCCAGCAGGCAGTTAGACACAGAAATAGACTCCCGACTTCCTTGTTTATCACCCGTAATGGCACCAACATCTGAAAAATATTAACACTTATGCCCCATGAGGGGGATGGAGGTGTGAAGCAGGGAAGGGTCTCTGGGCTGGTTTATTATTAGCCTAAAATCAGAAGAAGGAACTTTTTTTCTTGTCCTCCAGCCTCTGTGAAAAAAGAAATGAGCTCAACTAAACCTCCTCCTGCCCACCTGCTCTTCAGATGAGACATTCTCCAGGAATCACACCTTTACTTTATATTAAAAGCAAACATCCTCAGGGGGAATTTAGCACAGACAGATGCCTGCCACCTCCTGATAAATGACTGCTTAATTTAACTTGCCCCGCATCTGACTATTTTTATGCTGAGTTTGTTCAAGATACGAACCACAGGAAGAAAACAAGATAGAATATCAACATTTCTTAACCCCATCCCTGATTGTATCAACATATGTCATCTATTTAAAGCCCATAAGTCTTCTGTGGGAAGGTTATTTCCTGTTTTCTAAACTTTTGTGCAGCTGCAGACATTACTATGCATCATTCTCGCTGCCATAAATCCTCCCACAGCGTGTTAAATTTGCACCCCTGACATATTTAAAAATGTTAAATATGAATTTGTGTGAATGTCTGTGAGCTTATAACGTTATCTGTGTTTCCATTTTCTTTCAGAACAATAACCTCGAACGAGCGCTCGACTGGATCTTCACCCATCCGGAGGAGGAGGAGAGCGACGTCCTCTCAGACATGGCCGACACGGAGCCCAACGACAACGCTTTCTCCAACGCCAACTCGCACAGCGACTCCACGCTGTCACCGGACAGAGAAACATCGGGCCCCCGAGTCAAAGACGGACCAGGACGTGAGTGACTCTGCACGAGTGACCTTTCATCTGTCTGGACTGTCTTTGTTACTAAACCTAATCTAGAGGAACATTAAGTTATTAGAGTTGGACTTAAACGAACCTTCATTTTCGTCATTTTTTCATTTTCATTCAATATTACAAGGCACAAATCTTACTTACAAAGAATTTAACATGGGGTCAGAGTAAACCTGCCAGTTTACATTCAGTCCTAATTACTGTCTGAAGGATGACACATCGTGTGTTCTGGTGCTGCTGGGCACTGACCTGCTCTGTCAGAACAACTCAAGGTGCAGCGGCATGAAATCATGATTCACAGGCTTTTTAATGTCTAAGTCCAATAACATTAATGCATCCTCATCAGGGACAGAGGTGTTGAAGGAAACGATCACTTTTCAAGTCCACCATTATTCAGGTGCATTGAACCACTTTCCATTTATGAATTCCTCTTGTCCATATGTACCATTAACAAAATCATTCCCAATGCTCAGTCAGTGTAAGAGATGGAGAACAAATTCACCAGGCAAAAAAACCCACCACAGTTTATCTGAAGCTAATACGAGTGTTTTTACTTTGTAATGCCCCCTTTCTGTTTACTTTTACTACCATGAAAGAGGGAACTGTATACTGATGAGTATACAGTTTTAAAGTATTGATAACTTGCCTTTATTTTTATTAGACATTGCGAGAAGGGACTCGCGATGAACCTGCTGCTCAAGGCGTAAACATCAGAAGCATAAGGCTATAAAGTCACATCACACATCTATAAAGTTTTATACTAAAATGACTGAAACTTTGGAAGATAAACACTTGGGTTGTCAGACTGCTGAAGCCTCATTTAAGCTTCAGAATGAAGCGTTTTCTCTAAGTACAAGAAAAATGAATTTTGTTCCCCATCGCTAACACTGACATTTCTTTGTTGGCCCATCACTCAAAGGCAATCATGAGGAGAAAAATGAAAAACCTGCTGCAGTTTTCTGTCTATTGTAAGACTGACTGAGAGATTGTGAAGCTCCAGTGATTCATCATGTGAGGATCATTAACAATGCAGATGCTCAACTGCCTGATCAAATACAATAAAACAAAGAAAAAGAAATAAAGATAAATATTTAGTTGAAATCATATTGACGGCTTCATCACTTTGAATTTTCTCTTTGCTTTTAGTAGAAACATATTCTCAGCTGTCCTTGTCCAAAGAGGACCTTGTTTATTATAAATATCCTTTAACAGTGTCTTTTAGCTGCTAATCCTCTACTTCTTAAAAGCAACCAGGTATTATCTGACAATAAGCAATTCATAAATAATGATTGTCTTTGATTTTTAAAATTATTTTTCTGCGCTAGGCCCTGCCTTTATTAGTTTGTTGCATTACAAACTACTGAAAATATTGATTGTGTTTTTTTGCATTCCCTGTTTTGCGAATCTTAACCATCCTCTTTATTTTAAACTCCTCTGTGTTTGTTTATCACAACATCTATTTCTATTTATTCCAGGTTATGAGCTCTTTGCCTTCATCAGCCACATGGGCGCATCCACAATGTCTGGACATTATGTTTGTCACATCAAAAAAGAGGGAAGGTGAGTTGTACACAGTCTCACAAAATAATATTTATACATTTATTTCTTTGTAAAAAGCTTGTAGAATATTTTTTAATGACTTTCCTGTTCAGCAAATGTGGATTTTTTTTCTTTTCTTTGTCAGGAAATGTATTTTTATCCAAAATTAAATTATTATCGTGAGCTTTTAAAACCATAATACAGAAATTAAAATCTTTAAAATGACAGTCTGCTTATTGAGACTGCATGAAAACAATAATTGACCCATTTCCTTTGTCAGTCAGTTTATAAATAAACTGAAACACTATAATTATTCCCAATAATTTCAGGCAGCACTTAAATATAATGTGCCGTTTTCCTGCAGGTGGCTGATCTACAACGACCACAAAGTGTGTTTGTCAGAAAGGCCTCCTAAAGACTTGGGCTACATCTACTTTTACCATCGACTGTCGAGCAGTTAAAGTGAAGTTCCCGCCCTCCTCCACCCTGCAACCTTTAAAGAACGACAGTCTTTCACTCAGACGACTGGCAGACGACTGTGTAACAGCCGCAGTGGAAACGATGGAAACAACCTCTCAGACCAGCTGCTCGCCTTACTGTGATGTCATTCAGGAGCAACCAGGAACACTGGTCAGAAAGGGAAAGCAATGTGCTTTATGTGCATTTGTGTTACGTTACGCTTTAAATGTATATTTCAGTGTTTATGTTTCAAAAGAAAAAAGACGTTTTCTCTACAGTACAGAGGGATGTGTGCAATCTTTCCACTTTAGGACTGTTCTGGACACAATAATGCCACATATCAAATCCCATTGTTCCTCCTGCTCTATGCCTTCAGCTACTGTGCCAATATTTTCAAAGTGGTACATTTTATAAATGTATTTTGAAATGGCAGTGCTTCACTGCCAGCCCTGAAATGCTCTGAAACTGTGACAAGAAACAACAACCAGGACATTACTGTGCCGTGGAAAAAATTATTTTCAAAGTATCTTTTTGTTCGGGTGCCGAGAGAAATAAGAAGCACACCGCATGTATGTTTCAGAATGAGGGGGGGGGAGGAAGTCTGCACACTGAGGTACACTGGCTGAGTTATCAAGACAAAAGTATAATCTGCTTCCCTGAAAGCACTTTGTTTAGACTAGAACAAGTTCATCGTTTGCACCTGATGCAGCAGAAGTGGACGTTTTTATTCACCAGATACGAGCACGCAATGTGATATCAGATTTCTACTTCGGTTCTGCTGAACCTGTTAAACATTGAAGTAGCTGGAAGTGCATGTACAGTAATTGATACCTTATTTTTAGGTGGCTGTCACATCATTTATACTCATGTACGTTATATAGAAGTTGTAAAGAAGTCCACGCTCCTGCAGTAAACCTATTTTATCCATTATTTTTGCCCAAATTGCAAAATACTTGCATTGTAGGCTAAAAAAACTTGGACTCTCAGCAGCAGCTGTTCCGCTTTGGTTCCTTTATCACTCTGACAGATTCAGACTGTGACCCCAAAGTTAAAATTAACCCTTCTCTTCGACCTGTAACACTTTTTTTTTTTACAAGTCATTTAATTTCATTTGTACATCTAGAAGCAATATGCACGACAACCAAATCTCCTCTGGCACCTGCTGTAAGAGTGACTCATATCTCAGTGCTGAATGTATCGTGGTGCTCACTGCAAACAAAAGCTCTTCATCTCTTGATACATTATTATATCCTCTGACTGTCAACATCATCTCAGTGTTTATTCTCATATCCTCATTATTTACTTTTATGCTGCATTGAACTGGACTTGAATCCACTTTCATTTTTGTCATCTCAAAAAAGAACTGATATTTTGTCACTTAATTCCAGAGCGACGACCTTGACATGTGGTGAAAGTGTGTCACTCAGCTGTGCACTTCAGGGGCTTGTTTTAAAGGTGAAAAGTGACTTTACTCTGCCTTGTAAAAATTTGATGTTTGAGCGTTACAGGGAAGGACAGTCCTCCGACCTAGAAGGTACATTTGCTTGAACGTTGAAAGAAAGATTGCGACATCAAAAACTGGAAGTCTGGAATATGTTTGTCCTTTCAAACACTTTCATGTGATGACTTTTAAAAACGACATAGGAATCGTCTTTTCTTGTGAAGACGATGGAAACAAAGAAACTTTATTGAAGGCCTCAGATAAATATCTCACATCCCAGAGTGAAACCGTATCTCTGCAGTTCTCCCTCAGCACAGATTCAGTTTTATTAAATCTCCCCTCCATCAGATACTACGTGCTGCAGTCTTCATTGTCTATGCAGCAGGAAATTCTCAAAGGTCTTTCTATGCAAGTCTTGTTTCTGCCATTGATAAAAGTTGTCGTCTTGCTAAATGATGTTTAGTTTTGAATGTCTTCAGATATCCTGTGCAGATACCCCCTCCCCCCCGTCGTCCTCTTGATTACACCATTATGTCATTTTCTGTTGTTTTGTTTCGGCTTTCGCTCCAGCTCGGTCTCTTCCATTCTTCTTCTTTTCGTTGTTAAAACGGTTCAATCTGTCACAAAGAGGCTTTTTCACTGTCAGCATGTGCACTAGACGTTGACATTTAGTCATTTGGATTGTACCTTTGTACTCTTGTGAGTTTTGTTCTCTTTTCTCATTTAACGAAATGTAAAAAAAAAAAAAGGTTCTTCACCTGTTTTTACTCTGTTGCCTTTTTGCAAACAAGTTTGTGCCAGTTGTGTAGTTCCCATTACATAGTTTTTCCTGAAGGGAATATTTTAAGTTGACTTTTGTAATGTATGCCTTTATCCAAAAAATGGCTTGGATGTATGTGAATAGAGTCATGACAGTACAGTGGCACTGTTTACTTACAATGTTTGGATAATTTAATAAACTACACCTTTGTTGAGACTTGGCTTCTTTTAACAATGAACAAAGAAACGTCAGTTCAAGAGACACCAGAGCGTAGAATATATAACAACAGTTTATTTTAAAAGATTACTTTCATATTGTACGTTTCAAAGGTGCTAATGCTTTCCTTGCGATTATACAGGGAGAGTAATATGCATTATAGTAGGTGTTTCAGTAAATGAACTACTGTATATAAAGTATATATTTTCTAAGTTCATTCATCAAAATATCAATTTATTCATACATCTGATGCATTGATAAATAAACCAGAACAAACTGCCTTTGTACACATGTTGAATTAAAGGAGTGAAGTAAGAAATGTACATGTACTGATAACCCCAACCAATGAAGCTGTGATTAACATTTTATAAAGAGACTCAACACATTTCAAAATTGTGTCATTGGTTATCAGCAAATTGGCAAAAATTATTATCCTAAATTTAATTTGGTGAACCCTGCAGAAACCTTATAATAGAACATTATAAAATAAACAATACCATGAATAAATACAGAGAAAGTATATAAATCAATAAATTTTGAAACATATGCATTATTATAGAAATGTCTAGTAATGTCCAGTTTTCTTTCAGGATAACAAAACATTTATTTTAATTTAATTTAATTCTTCATTTTTATCCTGAAATGTCCCTTTTAAAATGACCATATTATTTCATTCTGTCTTTGACACTTATCATCTTTTCAAACTCTTTGTCCATCAAGGTCATAGCTGCTCTAAAGTCTGTTTTTGAAAAGAAGCCAAATGAAATATTATTTCATGTGATCAGATTTTTATGTGATCAAACTGAATTTATATGACATTGAAACTTCAAACAAGTGCATAATTAAGTATTTATAAGGTTTGAGACATTAAAGGAGACATATTATGTTAATTTTCAGCTTTATAGTTTTAATTTGGGTTGATACTTACAATGGTTTTTATGCTTTAATGTTCAGAAAACATTACTTTCCTCACACTGTCCACTCCTGCAGCTCCTCTGTTCAGCCCCTGTCTCAAACTCTTGGTTTTAGCTGTTTCTGTTTCTTTATTTATAGGCCAGACTTCTGACGAGACATTTCAGTAGCACTGTGTTCTGTGGGTTAGAGGAGCTCCTTTTACTGCAGACTTTGGGCTTTTTAATTTTTCAGAACTTTTACAAGAGAAAAACTGAAAAAGCACAATATGTCTCCTTTAAAAACATTTGGTGCAACAGCTTTAAAGGTTGGGGTTATTGCAGTGGTTACCAGGTTCTACAGTTGTAGCGTTACACAAGTGTTCAAGCTCAGGTTAGTTTGGAAGAAATGAAGTGTGTTGCGCTGTAACACTTGTTTCTCTGCTCAAGCTTCGTACACCCTCTTGTTCTATGCAAGAAAAAGCCTCTTGTGTAGAATGTGTACTGAATATATACATCAGTTCTTGTCAAGGTTGCAGATTTTTAAAAGTGTATTGTAAAAATATTGTAAGGAAACTTCATCGTATATTTCATTTGTATATGTTAGTGGAGGAGAAAGAAAGCACATCCATGTATTTCATGCATACAAATGAAAATAAAAAGCATCCACAGCAAAGAAATGAAGGAGGATCTAGCATGCGACCCTCCTCAGTTCCTCAGGAGCATGCGTTAAGCTAGGTCAGTTCACCTGAGAAGGTTCAGTAGTAGGTTCTACAGAAAGAAAGTGTCGCCAGGCATCCTATCTCAACGCACTGCAGTATGACGTACACAGTAGAAGTTTAGATTTCAAGCCAGCGATTAAAGGTTTCTCTTAAAAAAATAAGTTCTTCATTTCACATCTCTGGAAATGCAAAACAAAAGCAAAGGTCCACAACCCCATAGCAAAACTAGAGTTGATCATTTTACCAGACATCAGGTTTTTCGAGTTTCTTCAGTTCAATGTTGACAGTGAAGACAGATGGGACGACCAGGGACAGAATATGTGTTAATTTAAAGAAAAGAAAAGAAGAAGAAGTAGCTCCTGGCCTGAAGAATAACTCCTTTCTCAACAATCTCTCGGGCAAATGTTACAAGTTACATGTGTTTATGGAAAGAAAAGTGGATGGAGTGAGCAGGTGAAGCTGTAACATAGACAAGACTCAGAGTCCAGAGCTTTGATGTATCTATGACTCAGTACTGGTGCTAAGAGTAACACACTGACACTGGAATCTATAGAGCCATGCAGCTCTCAGACATTAAACAGAATACTATTGAAGGACTTTTGGATATCACTCATTTCATTTCATTGAAAAGCTAAACTTTCAACTTCTGCAACTATCATCATAAAATCTCAGAGAGTGCATACATCTGTGCTTCCTGCTTTGGCTCCTCACCTCTGTCATCTTGTCACTCTGAGGGATATTGTTCATGACACACACATATGTGCCGTGTCTCACCGGGGCTCCTCCGCCTCCTTCATCCATCTGACATCATGGCTGACCACAGAGACTCTGACTACAGCAGCTACTTGTCTGTTTCAGGATTGTAATGTATTTGGTTCAATAACAGAGACGCTGCTGTAGACTTGGAAAATGAGACTTTTCTTCTCTTAAGTGCATCTGGGGTGAGTTTTAAAGAGAACACTTGCAGCGGCCCAGCGGAATAAAACATGTGCCTGATAACAAAGCTTGATGGTTCAGCACTGATTTCGTCGGGTGCAATTGAGGATGACGACATATCGCTACACCACAGCGTTATAAAACATGAAGACTACACGTCCACGTCTACTTTTCTCTTGTTTTTGTTCTCCTCTAGTTTCCTAATGGTACAGTTGTACAGTTTAGTAGATGAATGGCTATCGCACTGGTCTCTGGTTCCTGCTGATATCGCTGCTTCAAAGCACAGAATCACTCGCCTCCTTTTGTTGAAGGACAAACCGACAATTCCGAACGGCAACATAAAACACAACCTTTTTGCATAGGATCTGAGATAAAAACAACCTTCTGCGGCGCGCCTGGGCTGCAGACACGCCTGTCAAACACCAAGGTGCTGAGCTCTACTCTACAGCAGATTATCCATCATTTACTCTGTGGCACAGTGAGGAACGGGATGTTCACTTCACAGAGCGACTTTCAAACTGAAAGTGAGGCAAGAGAAGCCGTCAGCTAAAAAGCATGGGTATGGAAAAAGGAAAAGAATCACTGCATTTCATACCATCATGTTGGATGAGCTCATGTCTAGTTTACTTCTTGTTTGCATTCTGCCCAGGCTTACATATATATTTAAATCATAACATAATGACCGAGGCAAAGTGATTTAATTAAATGTACGAGCTTCGCTGTCTGTGGAGACGCGGCAAAGATACAAATGACTGTATTAGGAAAAACCCCAAGCTGTTGCTGTGGGTCCTGGCCTGCAGCTCCATACACATCATTTACCTGTTATTATACTGTATTGAATTGAATACAGTGTGGGGAAACTAGGATGTAATGCTGACATCAAATGCTAAAGCTTCTAGAGTCACTACAGGGGTTGAAGATGAAAAGAGAACTGCAGCAACAATCGTTTTTTTCTCTGTTTGTTAGAAAGTTTCCACGCTAATGAATTTTACAGATCACGTCGCTGCCCAGCGTCTGTGTCGACTTCTCTGACCAGTCAGCGTAAAGGGAACAAAGAGAAGCTCTGAGCCAAGACCAAACAAATAAAACCCCCAACAAAACAAAAATGAATGGCTCAGAAAGCTTTAAAGTTCAGTAGACGGCAGTTAGTTAAAGAAATTGAAAACCAGTCTGAAAATGGCTTTGTGGGTTTTTTTTGTTGCCATAAAAATAGTATAAATAAATATTCGCATGCATTTGAGTAAGGCTTTACAACCCGGCTTCCACATTCCACTTGGGTAAGGAAGTTGTCTGAAGTGCAAAGGGAAACATTTCTAAAAGTATGTTAAGTTAAGAATCCGTTCATGAAAAAAATGCTTATTCATGCAGTATCATTACTTTCTGTTGAAAGAGGATGAAAACAAGCCAGGGACAGGAGTCGAAGGGTCCAGGTCATGTGGCGCAGTCTTAATCAGTTACACTCTAATCCGACCCTCAGGCGAGTGAAACAGTTTTGAGTCTTAAAAAGTTTTTTTCTTTTCCTCCACAAAACCTGGTCTTTACCCTGCAAACACCGAGAGAGGGTTCCTCTGTGAGACGCTCCAACTGTCTGCCTGCCCGTCTCTCCTGGCTCAGCTCTGTTCCACTGGATGAGTCAGTTTTTAATTGATGTGTTCTCTAAGGCATTGCTCGTACAATCTTTGCCTGTCCTTGTGCTCTTCAGGGAAATCACAAATTGCAGTGCAAATCCATCACAAAGCAGCCACTTCAAGCACTTGGAAGAACCTGTCCTCGGAGCTGCTCCAAGGTACTTGGGCGGAGAAAAAAATCTTTGACGACTGCAGTTAATTTTGACGTGCATAAAAACCACACTCTAGTCTCTAACATCCCATCCTGTCTTTTCTGACGTGTGCACTTTGGGCTTTTGGCTGTTGGGTTAAAAACTAAAGAGAGTAAATTTTAAAGGGGGGGAGATGCTGCCATCACTACCTCCCATTCCTCAAATGTCTAGGTTGAAGGCCCGCATGAGGAGATCCAGGTCGCCGATGTTTGCAGCCTGGAAGAGTTCTGGTTGGTCCATCATGGACAACGCTATCCTCAGAGCTGCCCAGATGTTTCCAGACATCACCTGATGGGACTGCTGGCGACTCCGGCTTTTCCTCTGAAGGCTTAATGCGGTCAGGAAGTTACTGGCCGCCTCTCTGGGGAAATAAAAATAAATGCAGTTTGGTCAAGAGGCTGATTTTCAGACAGTTAAGAGAGACAAGTTTGATGAAGTCTCTTCAATGAATAGTTTAATCCTATTGGTTCTGTGACAGTTAAAACTATAGACTCTGAATAAAGATGGACAAAGTGTTTCAACTTATTACCGTTGTACAAAAATGAATCTAAAATATCTGGAATACCATCCCTCAGTTTTAACGTCATTAGGAACCAGAGTCTGTGCAGTTGTGATCGTGGTGTGAAGCCGTAGTATTGAGGTTCTGCTGATACACAGGCTCGACCAATCACGAATCAAGTCTCAGCTGTCAATCATGACATAAACCATCTTTGAGAAAGAAATTAAGACCATCTACTTTGACTTTTTACTTTAGTTTGATCCAAGTCCCATCCACTAACATGGAGGAGACTTTACGACCTATACTGCAGTCAGCCAACAGAGGGCAGTCAAAATACTTTTGGGACGCTGTCATGCAGCAATATTTACACAGTCTAAAATTCAGTATTATGGTTAAAACCTATGTAACCAAGCGTCACATAATACCAGTGGAGCTATATACAGCCTAAACTCAGTAATGAATGATATATCTGCTGCTGCAGCTGACTGCAGGCCAGGCCAGCGGAGGTAACACATGAAGATTGAATTTGAGATTGAACATAACATCTGGCACCAGGTAAACATTCAATATTTATGGCACAGACACATTGAGCCTCGTTGGTGGGGGTGTTTGGTAGAAAGTAGTTCCAGCGAGAAATTGAATTTACTACAAGTGTTTTAAATGTTATCGTTCAATACTCTGGACGCCACAAACACTATTTCCCTCCAATGCATCGAGATGGAGGCAGAAATGTCTTCGTCAGGGAAATAAAACACAAAATATCTGCATAAAGGCGTGTTTAATAATCTTTTTTAAATTTTGGTGACCCAAACTTTAAATTGTTATATCTATTTTTACATTTCAGTGTAAAGCTGCAGGAACTTTTCCAAAAAAAAAAATTATCGAAACAAACATTTTCACATCAGTCCATAAATGTGACATTATTATTCCTTAAGAGTTTACAGACTGATTTTAGTTTTCTATTCAACAAACCACGTGTGTCATACATCCTCACTGTGCTTCTCTTAAGGCATAATCAATAACTCAATCTATATATTGAACTTGAAACCTGAACTTAAAAACCACGCTGTGATAATTATTGATAAATATGATTATGATGATTCAATTCATGAAATAAAAAGCAGCACGGCAGCGACATGGGAATAAAGTCTGATAATTAAATATAAATTAAATAAATACACAGTAAAGCCATAACCCTTCACTTATTCCCAGTGATTGAGAAGCCAGACAAGAAGCTGTCCCCACAGAGGAGCCTCGTGTTGGGGGATGGACTCAGCAGCAGGTGGGGGAGCGGACCCGTTCATTCCCGGTGTACCGGATGAACCGTCCCGCTCCATGACGTCGCTGCTTCCGTCTCCTGAACGTGTCGTGTCGCTTCAGAAGAGTTTGTAAAGAAACATCGTTTCAGGACAGTTTGTTCGCCTCAGCCCTGACGGTGCTCCCTCCTCCTCCCTGACCCCATGACACCGGATAAAAACAGACGTGTCGCCGCTTCTCTTCACCGAGGTACGTGTTCAGTTTCATGGTTGGGACCTGACTATGTCCTGGCGCCACAGCATCAGTTCCACGCATTTAATCAAACGGAGACAGGATAATTAATGTGACAGAGTGAACTGAACGCGGGGACACGTCCACATTCACAAGCACAACAAGTATCAGTGTCTGTCAGAGTTCATCTCCAGACATATCTCTGTCTTTTAGTCGAGTTCATCTTGAGCATTTCAGACAAACTGAATGAAGGAAGTGCTTCTTCTGTTGAGCTCCATTAAACCTTCTCTCAGAAACCACACTCCTGCCCTGCTGACCTGGGATCCACTTTGCTGCTCATGAGTAATGGTTCTGAATATCAACCTTTGGCAAAGCCTGCCGGGCTCCAGCTGTGTGGAGATCATAACCTGTGTATACAGTCTATGTTGCACATGGACAGATGTGCCATTTAGTTTAGTTTCAGCTGAAGTGGTGAACTATGAGTTTCCATGAGCAGCTCTGCAACAAACCTTCAACCCAGGTGCTAAAAGAAGACAGACTGCATTCATTCGTTGTAACTGTGAGAAACCAGTGTCATCAATAGGTCGAACCACAAACTGCAGTAGCTTCTCCTGTAACTTATAACCAACACCTCATGAACACACAAAGACCTGTGTACCCTGGGTCAGAAGACACCATGTACACCTTAATTCTAATGACGTGCTATAGTTAAAGACAGGTCCAGTGAGTCCCCAGGCTTGTTGAAGGGTGTAGCTTGCCTCTTGTTTACCATGCTTGGCCTTCCAGTGACTAAACCAATCTCTAGTCTGAGTTCTCTCGCCCTGTCCCTTCACCATATCACACCAATTCATTTGTTTCAGTGACGAGGCTTGTTGTCTGGCAGATGCATTATGATTCTGTCATGGTCATGATTGTGGTACTTCTGCAATGTTTGGGTATCACGAACGCTCTGAGCTGAATTGGTTTCGCTGCACATTTCCTGCCTGTATATTATCGGGTTCACAGGAAGCTCAACGGATAAAAGAGGCGCGTGTACATTTTTCTCCAAGCTCCTCTTTTTATTTTCAGCCACGCGTTTGAGAAATATTTCAGTCAAAATCATTAACTACTACATTAATCATTACCAAGCCTTTATGCATATGTGCTGATAGTCATCAGCTCATAATAATTAATAAGACGGTGGTGTCTGCTGCAGGTCACTGATTTTGTGATTTAAATTAGAGTTGCTGTGATTAGTTGACCGACAGTGCTTTGGAAGGGCTTTGTCAGGAAATGAGTGGACACACTGAAGCTGGTGTTTGGACTGCACAAAGAAGAATCCACATTTTAGCTGATGTTGTGCTTGTATATCTAATATGCTGTTACTGTATAATCATCTCTCCCCAGTCTATGTGCTGAGTTTGCTGTATGCTTGTGGGGCATGGTGTAATCACAGTGTGTTGATTCCAGCTATCTGAACATAGTCTCTCAAATTCATTTTTTTGTTTTTGCACTTTGCAGATATTTCGTCATGAGTGCTTCAATTATTTGAGTTTTCACTTCTGGAAAATGACTTCAGTGGATTTCTGAAAGCAGCTTTAGTAATGCAGATAAAACAAAGCGTCAGGTCACTCACTTGTGTGACCCCAGGTTAATACAGCTGATGCCCAGGTTGTAGCGGGACCTGATAAACCCTGGCTGCAGCTCGAGAGCTCTGGTGTAAGCCTCCACTGCCTCCTCGCTGCGGTCCCCGTTTGCCAGCGTGGCTCCGAGGCGGTTCCACAGCAAGTAGTCCTGTGTGGAGGAAGTGGGTTGGAGGTGTAAACAATGTCAAAGGGTGATAAATGATAAACTATTTTTGGGGAGGTTCGCTGTGGTGCCTGTGGTCTGATGCTGTCAGCTTTAAAAAAATGCATTCATGGATACATTTAAACATACAATATGTGACTGCGTCCGCTATGGCTCTCTGAATCAAAACAAAAGAGCTAGTTTTATGATGTTGTGAAATGGTGTGGGATCATGGGAGTTATAAACTTCAACACCATTGCTGATGTAAATCTACCTGAGGTGATGTATTAAAGTTTTTGCAGCAAACTGCAATGAATAATCTTGACTCATTACGAGTGAGAAATACAAACAGTGGAAGGAAAAAACAACCGACTGGCTAGCAGTGAGTTTTTCCTTCGTCATAGATCGTTTTAGAAGGAGACCAGAATGAAACGCTCAGTACCTTTAATAAAATTGGAGATTTTTCTGGTTTTTAACATTTAGGACAATGTCAGTACACAAACAAACAAAATATATAACAGTCCAATTATTTCAATGAATAATTGTTTCATATTAGATCTTTACACTGGATAGTTCCTAATTAAGCCTGAATTAAAGCTCATCAGCAGCATCTATTCAGTTATTAAGTCTTAAATGCTGCCTTGTTTCAAAGGCCCTGAGAGGTACCCCACAGTGTCTTAAACAGAAAAGTGCAAGTGAAATAGAGCTGAATAATCTGGGCTGCTAAACAACACTCAGCCTTGTATCTTCAGTGACAGCATGACAAAGCAGTTTTAGAGCAGCAGGCTATAATTCACTTTTTTTTTTCTTCTTCACAAACAACTATAAAGTGTTTTGAAGCATTGCACAGCTCCCTGTTATAAAGCACCCTAACAAGGGTACGTCGAATGGGGTGCATTACATCACACAGGGTGTCCTTGTCGTTGTTTCCCACCTGCAGGTAGACAAGCACATTCAGAGGTCATGGTCTGCTGCAGTACAGGGGTCCTTCATCTCCGTCTAAGCTTAGTCGTGGGATATAATTATCTCCCTTTGTGTTTGGAGCTATTTTTTCGGCAGGGGAGCAGATATTACCAAGTCAAATGCGGGAGGTTGGATTTAACAGTGAGTAATATTTGTGTCCCTGCCTGGGACAGTGCTGGGAGGACGGAAACTGATTTGCATAAAGTAGGTGGAGAAAGGTTTGTCCCCATATTTGTTTGCAGGTCTGTTTTGTTTGTTGTGTATGTGCACGCTTCAGTGTATCAAACATTTGTCGAGGTCCATTTTTGTTGTTGTCTCTCTCTCTCTCTCTCTGTGTGTGTGTGTGTGTGTG